ATTTTTTTGCCACATACAGGCTAGGATAAAAAGTGACGGTGGACCCTTGAATAACACGAAAGTGTTAAGCAAAATTGTGTGTTAAGGAAATTGAAGAACAATGGGGATTAATATGGTTATGTACTTGGGACCTCAACAAATGCAAACCAGCATTTAATTTTTTATTCTAAACACTGAAGATTTTGATGCCTTACATTGTAGATGTAGTTCTAGGACCCAAATCCTAATTAAAGCTTAGTTATTAAATAAACTTAAGACCCTCAGAAAGTTGGTGTTTCACACAACATAAAACAGGCATGGGGTTCCATCCGTAGAAAACGGAAAAGGTTTATGTATTGCTAGTGACTGTTATAAATTTAACACAAGATCTTGTCAGTATAAAATAATCAGAAGTAAAGAATTTTTATCTACCTTAAACTCTGTTTCTCTTGCTTGTAGAGGTAGAAGTGTTTGGAGATGTTTACACATCTCAGTTGAATAGTTGATGACTGCATGTCGTCTATATTATTAGCACACATTTCACTATAGTTTTCTTGTTTATACTGGTGGCAAGGAGGAAATTTATCCTACCTTAAGTTCCTTATTTTCTTGCTTGTTGAAGAAGTGTTTTGGAGATTATTTAAATGACTACTGAGTGGTAGACTGCTGTGTCATCTGTTTATTGACTGATGGCTGTGGGTCGATCTGTTAGAGCCAAAGTCAGCAGCTGACTTTCCCCATGCCCCATAAATCTCAAAGTAGTTTTCATGCCTGTGGGACCTTTTTAAAAAATTTACAGCATGCCATACAAATTTGCTGTATTGTCTCAACAGTGTTATCATAAAAAGTGTTAGTTTGAATGTGTTTTATTTGAGGGTCTACTGTATTTTATGGCCCCATTTAAAAGTACAGTACCAATTACTATTTTACAATTTCTTGGTTGCAAACGAAGATTAGATGGTAATTTATTAATGAACTGCTCTAAGTTTAGAGCTTGTTTTTTAATATAATATTTATGAGCAGGCTGTTTACTTATCAGGATACCTTTGAGTTATATAGTATCATAAGGAATTGCTATACCCATAGGGGATCATACAGTGCATGGGAGGGAATGAGACTTGATCCAAGAGGAAGGTCTAATTTCTTGGAACAAGAGCCCATCACTGGCATCAAGACATCTCTTTGAGGAACTCTCATAGCCCCTCAAAGAGGTCCACGTAATAGGGTATCTCCTCTTATGTGGATGGGTTCTTATGTTTACTAGTAGGATACCTCATGTTATATAGCAAAATGCCTTGTGTCATGTAGGCTATTTTGCACTATCTCCAATGCCTCATCACTTAAGGGGTTATTTTGGTTTGTAGTTTCTAAATTAGTTCCATTCTTTTTAGGTGTAAATTTAAATATTTTCCTTGCCTGTATGCCAGGTAGTATAGCTATGGGATTATAGGCATTCCCAGTACTCAAGTAGCATTAAACCATGTGAGTGCAGCATTTTTCATGCTATATGCTTTAACTTTGAACAATTTTCCACTTAAATTTCTAGCTGTGTGGGGAAACGGCATAGCATAAGACATCCATTTTTACATATTCAATTTATGGAAAATGTGAAGTAGCTGTAAAGTATTAGGTTAACATTTTGGGCTGTATGTCCTAAATTCATAGCGAGGAAAAAATGTGCTTCACTTCCCCCTGCCTGGGATGTTGCTAATATTAACAGACTGGGGATGATGGTGTTGGAATATTACTAGTACGTACTAGTAATGAATAGACCAGTGTCACTATATAAGTGTTGTGACAAGGTTACCAATGATGTTTGTATTTTATTTTAGTAAGTTGGTTTAGTCTAGTACAGTAGCAGTGTACTCTGGGATTCTTAAGGGCTTATTATTATATTATTATAAAGAAGAAGCATTAAACCTATGTGGGTTTGATAACTAAGGGGTATTAACTAATAGGAGTTCAGTATAGGATTTCGTTCAGATTTTTAACCCCGGAGGGTTAGCCACCCAGGATAACCCAAGAAAGTCAGTGCGTCATCGAGGACTGTCTAACTTATTTCCATTGGGGTCCTTAATCTTGTCCCCCAGGATGCGACCCACACCAGTCGACTAACACCCAGGTACCTATTTGCTGCTAGGTGAACAGGACAACAGGTGTAAGGAAACGTGTCGAATGTTTCCACCCGCCGGGAATCGAACCCGGGCCCTCCGTGTGTGAAGCGGGAGCTTTAGCCACCAGGCCACAGGAAGCTTGCAACATGGCTCACATTGAAGTTACTTAAATTATATCATTGTATCAAGAACTTGGGTGACTTTAAATATAGGTTGGACAGGTAAATGAATGGATGAGAGTTGGACCTGCCTAGCATTGACCAGTAGGCTTGCTGCAGTGTTCCTTCATTCTTTTGTATTAACTATTTTTCCATATTATTATAATCAAGGGGGAAGCGCTAAACCCGGAGGATTATACAGCGCCTGGGGGGGGGCGATGTGGAAGGCATTCAGGCTTAATTCGGGGAACTGGAGCACAGATCCAATTCCCTAAATCAAGAGCCCCTCACCAACATCAAGGAATCTTCCTTGAGGGGTATTTTTCCATAACCTTTAGAAGAGGGCCTTGTTTTTAAGACAGACAGTTGTTTATAGTTATATATTCTTGCTCTTTTCTACTGTTTTCACTAGTTTTGATAATATATCTTTCAGTTTGAGAAGCAATGATTGGTTTTCACAGAAAATTTTTCTATCCTAACTAAGGGCATGTAAATTGTAAAAAAAATTGCATAACCCATATTAATTGTAAGTTATAAGCATGTCTGTAATCCTGTCTACAAATCCTTACAATAAAATTTAGATACATTGAGCAGTTGAGTTAAGGTTGATATTATTATTGCATTCATGGAGGGTAAGGGGCATTAAACTCATTGGGCTGAAGGTTGTACAGGATTGCATCCAATAAATCACAATCTGCTTTGAAGGAGGTAGAAAACAATAAAAGGCTGAAGCTGTTCCTCAGGGATGTGTCCTTAGCACACCACACTTTCTCCTTGCTATAAATGGTCTGACATCTATTCTGTCGTCTAATATTTGGTCATCACTATGTTGATTTAACTATAGCTTGTGCAGGCGCTGACTGTCGTCTTGCAACAGCCTCGCTCCAGATGCTGTCAGTAGTGTTTCCCATTGGGCCACTGCTCGTGAGTTTAAATTTTCTAGTGCTAAAACGCAAAAAATTACTTTCACCAAACAGTCAATCATCCCTGATACTCCATTGTACCTGTATGACTCACGAATCCCTGAATGTGATATGTAGTCAGCTGTCTCTACCTACTGTTTGATCGCCGGTTGTCTTGGATACCTCGCATTGCCTCCCTGAAAGCAACTTGCCATAGCCAGCTGAACCTCCTTAAAACACTTGCTCATCTTTCATGGAGGAGGAGGAGGGGGGCAGATCATCAAACCCTCTTTTGACTGCATTCAGCCCTAATTTTATCAAAGCTAGATTATGGTGACCAGATACATTCTGCTGCCTCTCCTGCAACTTTTTCTAAACTTGATCCCATCCATCATCAGGGAGTGTTTGTATAGGTGCTTTTTGCTCCTCACCCGTCAAGTGCCTCTGAAAGATTGTCGCGATTCTCATTGTCTCCGCTATTTTATATATTATAATATTTAGATGAAATGTACACAGTCTGCAACACTCCTTACCACAACTTGAACTTACAGGCAGTCTTTGATTTCATCCTTGTTTTATACCACTTTTTTCTTGAGAAGATCACATTGTGACTCACTGAGACCAGTTATTCTTTTATCCTTTTACCTCTCTATACCTTCAACACCATGTTCTTCCATCCAAAAACCTGCTCTCTCTCGTGTATGTAGTAGATATCGCTGCTCCTCTTCATAGTGCTAGAACTTGAATGGATCATAATAGATGATCTACACAACAGCAATCCTTTCAACATTCTTATAAGTGTACTTCTCATTTTATACCCTCCCTCCCCTCCTCACCAATTTGTGGGAAGTTGAACATATGAACTGGGTGCTTTATACACACCATACTACCATCCCTGATCCTGATTCCTCTTCAGAATATGTACCCATTACGTCTGTCACTTTGTACTCGCTTAAGCTACACTAGCCATCCTCTGGACCCCTGGTAAACACTTATTTTTACGTATCTCATTATAAGAACAGCTTAGGGAAATTTTTGGTATGCTTTCATGTCTACTGTAAATACCACTACCTTTATGTGGACAGTTTGGAAAACCAGATTAACAGGCAAGAATACTCATGACAGTTCCCTTTCTTACCATGATGGGTGAAAGAGTAGAAGACCTTATTAAAGATACCAAAGCAAATTGGGGTGCCTTGATGTACATGAAGGTTTTTTTGATTCAAGGGATTTTAATTACCCTTTATTTTGTTACATTGTGTATGACTGTCTAACGTTACCACAAAAATAATACTGTACAAACTTTGTCAGATTTTAAGCATGATAAACATATTAACCTTGTCAAATTTGGGCTGCAATCTTTAAGTTAAAAACCACTTTACTATTATCACTTTTTGTTGACTTCCCTCAGACCATTTCTGTATTTAATCAAATCTGTTTTATATGATTGAGGATTGTCTATACCATACTGTAAATAAGAAAGTCGTACACTGCAATAATTGATTACCATAGTTCATACTTTAATTAAAATTAGTATTTTTAAAATGCCTTGCTCTGCATGTGCCTGCCAACATGTCGGTATATGCTAGACCAGTACAATGAATGAAGTATTAATATAATTTGTTTTAAATCATTATTGTAAAACTGTACAAAAAGGTTTGAAGTTTTAGTACTGTGATGTAAGATGGATGTATGAAATAAAAAAATGCTTTAATTGACAATTACAAAAATATTTCAGCAGTTTATTCTTTAGATTGACATTTATATTGTTCTTGTTAATATATTTAAATAATGAAATCATTCTTCCTGATTTTGTATTTTAACTTTTTCACATTTGTCTCTTTTAGGAAGGAAGGTGGAAGCAAGGTGGCCAATATTTGGTGTCAGACATCCTAGCCCAGCTCTCCCGTACTCAGTACTCCTTAGCTGAGCTAATGGTTAAACCATTACCAGATGGTGTTGATCCTCTCCATCTTGAGATATATCTCAATGATGAGGAATTTAATAAAGCTCTTGGCATGAGCCATGATGAATTTTACAGCTTGCAGAATTGGAAACAGACAGAATTAAAGAAGAAAGCTAAATTATTCTAGTAGAATTTGGTGAATAAAGTAGTCAAGAATGAAAATGTTGTCAGGGGCAGTCATTGGTGGAATAAAATAGGGAGGTCATTGGTAACAATCTTGCTTATTTAAACAAAATTTAGTCAAATTTATCCCAAGGACACAAGTGAGTACTGATGTAAATAAATTTGTGAATAATATAATGTTAAGCTTGAAAATTTATTGCAACTAAAGATTTTAACATGGTCTGGAGCTTTAACTTCTCTTAATGTACATAGGATGTGATATAATGTGGCAAATATTTTACATTGATATGATTGTGCTGTTCTTCCACTTCGGTACTGAAATGTATACTAAAGTACGTATGTAGTCTGGTGAACACATTCAGCCTTTAACTGTACATAAAAAAATTAAGTTTGCATAAGGCTTGTGTGGCTAAAATGAATCAGTGTTCATGAAAGTTGGGGGGAAGGGGGGGCTGAAAGAGGATTCCCATCCATCCCCCTCTCCTTTCACTTATGGCAACTGTTCTATGTGCCTTTCCACATGCTAGCATGCATTTGTCTGCCAAATCTTAAGTGTCTTCTGCGTAGTCTAAGGTGTCATATTAATCAATTTTGACACCCCCCTCCTCCAGGTACCTCCAGGCAACAGACACCTCCAGTAGTGGCCTGAGTTTACCATGCCAGCCTTACTTAAAGGACATTCTGGTGTTCTGATATTAGTCCTCCAGACAAAAGTTTTAGGGCCCAATTGCCCACTCAAGTGTTGAGGTGATGCCTGTGCCTTGCAATTCTTTTGGTTCTCCTTTGCGAATTTCACAAATGACCGCTCTCCAGTAGTCAAACCAACGCAAGTCTAGTCCCAATCCTGGTATACAAGATGTATGAGGTTTATGGTCTGAATTCTGAAATTTCAATACTCTCATTTTACATTGTAATAAAAAAATCCTGTATTGCACTGTTAAATTTAGAATTCAGACTTCACGGGAAAGTACATGCCAAGTCTTCCCCTTCCTGTTGTAACAGTGGGGGGGGGGGGGGCGGCAAAGTACTGTATCATAAGAATCCTGTGGTGCCTCCAGTTTGTACATAACTGATGCATTTGTATCCTATATTATGCTGACCTTTATGGATATACTATGTGTTTTACTGCTCTTGCAAATGGTTATACTATAGTCCTGTAAATATAATAAGCCTCTTTTGTAATTTTGCTACTTTGTGACATGTACAGTATTTCCCTTTAGTGTCGGCACGTAACCCGGTAAATGTCCCCCTGGCGCTACCAAGCTTATAGAAACTTGTATGTTAGGTTAGTGATTCTCATTGTGCAACTCGGCTTGGTTTTGTGATAACTTCATTCTCAATGAAACCAAGTAAAGAAGTGTTATACAAGTTAAATTTTTTACTATAGGGCTTCATTCAGTCTTAGCTTTATATACAGTATTTAAAACATTTTACATATTGTATAACAAGTTATTTAATTACTATCATAAGAAATTTGCCATTGTACAGTTTCCATTTTTTTTGTTTTTCTAGATTCTCAATGTGACTGCCCAAGCCAAAGACCCATTGGCAGTCTAGGTGATGGGGTTTTGCTCACCTTTTGAGGGAGTACTTAATCATTATTTGACAGCCAATACTAAATATTCTGGAGTCTTTTATTTTTATATATAACTATGTTTAATAAATTATTGGATATATACCGTATCCCCTCAAGGGTTTAAGATCATGACAAATCATGATTACTAAAATGTTTAACCTCTACAAGTTACTAGCATTTTATGCAGTAATTTTGCCAATATATGGTACAGTACATAAAATTTGGCACATTTTTGTAATTAGTGGTTTCATTAACCACACTTAAAATGTACATAGAAATTTTCATGTAATTTATGCTAAATACATGTGTCTTTCCACTATAAAATATTGTTGAACTATCCTAATAATATGCTGCACGACCCTTGTGAGTTTAGCACTTTGTTTATAATAATAATAATAATACTGAATGACTATGGGTAAAGATATATTATAAAAAAAAATCCTGAATTTATCAAGAATAAAAAATTTTGGTTAGAGAAGGAGATAATGGGTAAAATCACAGATGTCACATACTTCCCAGAAGATCGTACACAACTACTGGCAAAATTCAAAATAACCAAGTACTTTCTTTCTTCTGGAGTTTTGATTGGATTTTATGAGTATTGGGCCCATTTTTTAAGGGAAATTAACCTATTACAGTTAGGATACAATTAACTGACTGAAGACTGCTAATGCCAAAAAAAAAATACAGCGCCAAACTATAACATCTTTCACAAACATGACTCCACTTTGAAGCTGCCATTAACAGCATGCCCATTCACTCTTCTTGAGGAGAAAGAGTTTCTTGAAGTCAGTGAAGGGCTCCTCATCTAAGGAATTGCACCTCCTCTTGTATCAAACTTGAATGCCTCCTATTCCTCGGGTGCTGTATCCCGTCAAGGAAGGTTCCTTGATGTTGGTGAGGGGCTCTTGATTTAGGGAATTGGATCTGTGCTCCATTATTATTATAATCAAAAAGAAGCGCTAAGCCACAAGGGCTATACAGCGCTGCAGGGTAGGGAAGGAAGCGAGGGTATTGGATGGCAGAAGGGAGGAGGGATGATCAGCAGGTTACAGAAAACAGCGGGGCAGGGGATAGTACGGGGGTAGAGGGTAGCAAGAGATTGAAGTAGAAAGGGCTGAAGGTATCAGAATTTGTGAAGTAAGTCAGTTGTTGTCAAAAAGTCAATGAGAGAGTCCGGATGAAAGGTGGGTCCATCAGTGAGAAGGGAAGGTAAAGAGAGAGCAGCGGAGCGAAGACGACGACAGAGGTAAATTCTGCGTGCTCGTTGATAAAGTGGGCAGTCCAACAGAATGTGGCTGACTGATAATGGAGCTTGGCAATTCTCAGAGAGGAGCAAGACGCCTCTCCATGAGATATCCACGAGTAAGACGAGTATGGCCAATGCGAAGACGGGAGAGAGTAGTCTCCCAACCTCGACACTGGTGATAAGAAGACGGCCAGTAACCTATACAGTGGACCCCCGCATAGCGAACTTAATCCGTGCAAGAGGGCTGGTCGTTATGCGAAATGTTCGCTATGCGAATTAATTTTCCCCATAAGAAATAATGGAAATAAAATTAATCCGTGCAAGACACCCAAAAGTATGAAAAAAAATTTTTTTTACCACAAAAAAATGTTAATTTTAGTACACACAAACTGAAAAAGGCATGCACAATTACATGACACTTACTTTTATTGAAGATCTGGTGATGATTGATGGATGGGAGGAGGGAGAGAGAGTGTTAGTGTTTAGAAGGGGAATCCCCTTCCATTAGGACTTGAGGTAGCAAGTCCTTTCCGGGGTTACTTCCCTTCTTCTTTTAATGCCACTAGGACCAGCTTCAGAGTCACTGGACCTCTGTCGCACAAAAAATCTGTCCATAGAGCTCTGTACCTCCCGTTCCTTTACGATTTGTCTAAAATGGGCCATAACATTGTCATTGAAATAGTCACCAGCACGGCTTGCAACAGCTGTGTCAGGGTGATTTTCATCCATAAAGGTTTGCAGTTCAACCCACTGTGCACACATTTCCTTAATTTTTGAAGTAGGCACAATGGATTCCACAACTGGCATAGGCTTCTCAGGGTTAGCCCCAAACCCTTCAAAATCTTTCTTAATTTCCATACTAATTCTCACCCTTTTTACCACAGGGTTGGCACTAGAAGCTTTCTTGGGGCCCATGGTCACTTATTTTCCAGAAACAGCACCGAAAACACTGTAATAATACGAAATATTCCGAGTGTATGCTTGAATGTTACCGCGGAGGCTGGCTGGTAAACAATGGGACGGGCGGCACATGTGAGGCTGGCTGAGGCCGCACATTGGACGCGTCTCGGACGAAGGTCGCTGAGCGGGTTTTTGTCCACTATGCGGGGCAAAATTTTAGCGAACAAAGCGTTCGCTATGCGGATTGTTCGCTATGCAAGGCGTTCGCTATGCGGGGGTCCACTGTACTCGGTTTAATAGATTGAAGTTTGTTGCCAAACATAGTAGACCAACGTTGTTGCCAACGGGTGTGAAGGTGGGTAGATATTGCAGCAAAATAGTCTGTAAATGGAATACCTCTATAAGAAACTGGTAGGTCATGTACTGCTGACCGCGCAGCAGTGTCTGCCTGTTCATTGCCCTGTACGTCAACATGACCAGGGACCCAACAAAAAACAATATCTTTATGCTTGGTAAAGATGCGGCGTAGCCAAAGTTGGATACGGAGGACTAAGGGGTGAGGTGTATCAAATTTTTGTATAGCCTGTAAAGCACTAAGGGAGTCTGAGACAACCACAAATGATGACACAGGCATAGATGCAATACGGATAAGTGCTGTAAGGATGGCATATAATTCAGCAGTAAAAATACTAGCCGAAGATAGTAAATGCCCTTGTACGACGCTGTCCGGAAACACTGCTGCAAATCCTACGCCGTCAGAAGACTTAGAGCCATCTGTGTACACAGCAATGGCATGAGAATGAGAGTGAAAGTGGTCAAGAAAAAGAGAGCGGGAAGCGACCGTAGACAGTTGGGCTTTCGAGCAAGGGAGGGAGAAAGAACAGACTCGAACAGCTGGAACTTCCCAGGGGGTTAGGGAAAAGTGAGATGCTACATGTACATAGAAAGGTGGTAGTTGAAGAGAAGACAAGAGCGAATGAAGGCAAAGAGAGAAGGGACGGAGTAAACAGGGGCGGCGAACAAATAAAGAATGTCTACTAATATCAGTGACCATTCTATAAATGGAAGGATTGCGGAGATCATGAGAGCGTACATAGTAGCGCAGGCAATGGGCATCACAGCGATCGGATAAGGATGGAACGTTCGCTTCTGCATAGAGGCTCTCGACAGGGGAAGAGCGAAAAGCACCAAGGCATAAACGTAATCCTTGGTGATGAATGGGGTTAAGGCTAGAGAGAGTAGCAGGAGATGCCGCTGAATAGATCTGGTCACCATAATCAAGTTTCGATAAAATAAGGGGGAATGTAGGCGAAGGAGGTTCGACGATCAGCTCCCCATGAAAGATGAGCAAGGGTTTTAAGAAGGTTCAGCCGGCTGTGACAAGTTGCCTTCAGAGAGGTAATGTGAGGTTTCCAGGATAACCTACGATCAAAGAGGAGGCCCAGAAACTTGACTATCACGTTCAGGGATACGGGAGCCATAGAGGTACAAAGGATGATCGGAGATGACAGAGCGTCTAGTGAAAGTAATTTGGTGGGTTTTAGTGCTGGAAAATTTAAACCCACGTGTGGTGGCCCAATTGGAAACACGATCGACTGCATGTTGGAGAGAAGCTGTAATGAGGTGACAGTCAGCGCCTGCACAGGCAATAGCGAAGTCATCAACATAGAGTGATGACCAAATATTTGATGGAAGACTAGAGGCCAAATCATTAATAGCAAGGAGAAAAAGTGTTGTGCTCAGAACACATGCCTGAGGGACACCTTCAGCTTGGATAAAGTCCGGGGAGAGCACATTATTAACCCGAACACGGAAATGCCTGTCAGTTAAAAAGTTCTTAAGGAAGGATGGTAGATTGCCTCGAAGGCCTAAGGAGTGGGCTTGGGCTAAAATATTATACCTCCAAGTTGTGTCATATGCCTTCTCAAGGTCAAAAAATATGGCAATAACTTAGTGGTTATTCGCAAGGGCATTACGAACATACGTATCCAAGCGTAGTAAGGGGTCTATGGTAGAACGTCCCTTATGAAAGCCATATTGACGAGTGGAGAGATTGTTGTGTGTCTCTAAATACCACACTAAACGTCTATTTACTAGGCGTTCCATTACTTTGCAAACTGCACTGGTAAGAGCAATGGGACGATAGTGGGAGGTTTCACGTCCCGTAGTGCCTGGTTTGCGGAAAGGGAGAACAATGGCGGATTTCCACAGCTGTGGAAGAACTCCTTGTGACCAAATAAGATTGTAAAGGCGTAATAGGACTGCAAGGGCTGACTGATGTAAATGTTGTAGCATACGAATATAAATGTCGTCGGGCCCAGCTGCCGATGATCGACAAGCTGAGTGTGTTGCCTCCAGTTCTTGAAGTGTAAAAGGCACATTATACTGTTCTTCTCTGAGAGAAGAAAAGTCCAAGGGTGCTAACTCTCTGGCAGACTTTGAGGAAAGAAATGAGGGGCATAGATGGAGTCCCTGAGAAATACGGACCAGATGATTGCCAATTTCATTGGCAACATCTAGTGGGTTTGCTATATCAACACCGGCAACCCGCAGAACAGGAGCCGGGTCAGGAGAATATTTACCACTCAGTTTTCGTACTTTTTTCCAGACTGCACTCATAGAGGAAGCAGAGGTGATGGTGGAGACAATCTCGCCAGTAAGTGCGTTTAGCGTCACAGATGACACGGCGAGCGATCGCACGCTTCTGTTTAAAATCAAGGAGTCTCTCTGTGGTTCTATTGTACCGGTACCTGCCCCATGCAGCGCATTTCAAACGTACTGCACGAGCACAAGCAGGAGACCACCAAGGCACGCATTTCTGAGAATGCTTGCCCGAAGTTTGGGGTATAGAATGAGAAGCTGCAGTGAAAACGGAGGAGAAGAGGTGTAAAAGCTCATCGATGGAGGACGAAGAAGGAACCTCTTTAAAAACAGTTAGGTGTGAGTAAAGGTTCCAATTTGCCCGATCAAATTGCCAGCGTGGGGTGCGAAGAGGTGGCGAATATGAAGGGGAAGTAAGAATGATTGGGAAATGATCACTGTCATGTAAGTCCGGGAGAACAGACCAAGTGAAGTCTAATGCGGCGGAGGAAGAGCAGACTGAGAGATCGATGCAAGAGAGAGTATGAGTCCGAGGATCAAAATGGGTATGAGTACCTGTATTTAAAACATGGAG